TTTTCCTTTTTTTCTTTCATCTCTCTCTCACTTTTTCTTTCTTTTTTCTTTCTCTTTCTTTCTTTCTTTCTTTCTTTCTTTCTTTCTCTTTCTCTTTCTCTCTCTGTGTGAGTCTGTGTGTGTGTGTGTGTGTGTCTGTGTCTGTGTCTGTGTCAGTGGTGGGTTTCAAAAATTTTTGGAACCTCTTCTAACCGGTTCAGTAGATTTGATGAACCGGTTCTACCGAACTGGTGTGAACTAGTAGGAACCCACCTCTGATCTGTATTCTGTCAGACCTCCAAGATAGATAGGTCAGGAACTAATTTTCTTTTTATGAGTCTGTAATCCTTTGCTTCAAGGTGAGGGCAGGGCAACTGAATAGAGCTGAGCATTTACTGGTTGGATGCCCTTCCTGATGCCTATGCGGAGTTCGCAGCAGATATTTTCTCATGGTGCCCCGATACAGAAACATCTGTCGCTACCTAGGATTGAACTCTCAACCTTCTGAGTGAGAGGCAAGTGTCTTCACCTCTAGGCCGCTGGCTGCTCAAATATAACAGGCAATAGCCTGCCTTATTCTCATGAAGAGAGTTGGATTCCTAGTCTCGTCTACCTTGAAGGGCCGATGTGAAGAAAATCAAGGTAGGGAAATCTTGAGTTTCTTTCTCACCCCTCTACTCTCTCTCCAGTAACGGTATCCTATTTTCTTTACTAGCGGTTCGGTAGCGGGAGCGCACCCGCAGAAAGTCCGTGATGACGTCTGGGTGGGTGGGCGGAGCCTCGCGCTGCCACAGAATACCACCTCTGTCGCGCTCTCTCTAGGCTAAGTTAAGGTTTACTTAACGGTAATATTTTCTTCTTCTTCAAGGACGTGTTTACTCTTCGGCAAATCTCGCAAAATCTCATCGGATTTGGGACAATGCCAGGGTGGGACAGCCAAGGCACTATGAGAAAGCATACGTCTATCACGATTCTCAGTCATCCAGGTCACGGTTGTCCCAAAGATGCTTTTTCCAAAATGACAACCACTGGACTTTCTTGGGATTTTCCCTCGAAGACTTTTCGCTTTCTCACCTAAGAAGCTTCTTCAGTTCTGGAGAACAGAACTGAGAACTGAAGAAGCTCCTTGGGTGAGGAGTGAAATCTCTTCAAGGGAAAGCAAAGAAAATCCCAGTTCCAAAATTCCTTTTGTGTATGTCATCATTTATGTCTTAGAAGGTTAACAGTCCGTGGCTTGGAATATAGGAGAGGCGCCAACTTCACCGTTCCTGCCCTCCCAGGCCTGAAAAATGACACAAGTGAAGTTTGCACACTATCCCGCACTGAATATGACGTCTGGGGGGCAATGGGTATTTGATAAAATGGGTCTGGGGTCTAGGCTTCAAGGGCCCTTACTTATCAGTGTGAACATTCCCAAGGTTTTTTTTTTAAAAAAAATTATTATTAAAGAATGCTTACAAATAGGTGAAAGTTTAATCTTTGCTAGGGTTTGCTCTCAAGATTGTATCCCTTTTTAAAACCTTTTCCTTTTTGGGAAAATAGGATCATAACCTCTGAGACAGAAGATGACTTTTAAAAAAAAATGAAATTAAGAACACCCAGCTCACAAATGGTATTTTTTTTTACGTCATAACTAAAAACAGAGAGAGAGAAGGAGAGAAAGAGAAGGAGAGAGAGAAAGAGAGAGAGAGATAGAAAGAGAGAGGGGGGGAAAACAAAATAAGGAAAACCAAACCAATTAAAAATTAAAAGTTCCTCTATAGCAAGAAGGCAGACATAGATGGCTGTGTATAATCCCCCTCGTAGAATATTTCTGAGTGACCTCTAATAATTAATATCCTCACAGCTTGTGGTTAGCATTCACTTACCAAGCAAGACTTCCTCCTTTAGTAGGTAAGGTGTAAGAAAAAGGGAAGAGTGGGTAACGTAAGTCCATGGTTAGAGTTTTAAATTACAAGAGAGATTTTTTTTTAAAAAAAGAAGAAAGAAAATCAAAATTCAACCCCTCTGTCTTTCTTTCTCTCTTCCGTTAGACCAATCCAGTAATTTGCTTTTTATTTTTTAAATGTTCTATGCTTTGTTTAAAAGAAAAAAAATCCTCTCAAATTCCTCCAGTCTAATGGATCCCTAGATCTTGGGCTCACAGAGAACGCAAAAATTAAAAAAAATAAAAATTCCCAGGAAATCAAAAGATCTGAAAACAGAACGACAACACAAAAATGTTGGCCTCATCCATCCATCCATTCATTCATAGAACAAATACTGTTAATTCAACGAATGTAGATGCTGCATTGATTTCCACATCAATGTGATAACCCAGTTCAGATTTCCCCCCTTCGTGAGAACACTTTCCCCTGGTTTTGATTCGGTTCGATTTATTCGATTTATTATAATTGGTCAAACAGAAACAAAAAACAGGAATAATCTAAAAATACAATGACGGGGACGATAGGCGCATTAGTGCGCATATGCGCGCCTCCTCTACGGGCCTCTCAAGTATAAAGTGAGGTCCCCCCGAAGTCAATTTGCGACTGAAACTGTGAAAATTTGCCGCTGAGACAATTGAAGCAGTTAGAGCGGGCGTCTCCAACCTTGGCAACTTTAAGACTTGTGGACTTCAAGTCCCACAGTTCCTCAGCCACCTCTGGGAGTTGAACTTCACAAATCTTAAAGTTGCCAAGGTTGGAGACCCTTTAGAGCATTCAAGACTTTGACAATTTGATTACCGAAATCGTATTTTTTTACAGTCAAGTTTAGAATGATTTACATTGAGTTTAAAGTGGTTGTTTGTGCACGTATGATTGAGATTAAAACAGGGGAAAAAATCATTTACAGGTAAAACATTGCTACGTACAATTTTGTATGCAATACCTAAATCAGAACGGAAACGACGCAGTTATCCAAACCAAGAATTTTGAGCCTAGTAGCAAAGGGGCAGGGGTCACCAAACTTTCGGATCTCAGGGACCACTAAATTCATAATTTCAAATCCCGTGGACCACTAATATGATCTGCCTAATGACCAGCTGGGTGGGCGTGGCTAGGTGGTTATGTGACTGGGTGGGCGTGGCCAACTCGATGTCACTCACATCAAGGGGCGCCTCACCAGCCTCTACTGGCCCCTCCCCTCGCAGCCACTCCTCACCTGCCTGCCCGGGCTCCTTAGGGCCCCAATAGGAAGCAGTTGCTGGAGCTAAGCAGCCACCAG